TATTTTAAACATGTTTCAATGTACTATGAATGTCTTTGCTAAGGTAGTAATTGTGGTTACAGTTTATTGATTTAACTAATACGAACAAAAAATAAAATAACTACTCTATTAAATATGAGAGAGTTTTAAAAATTAGAGTAAAATGACAGAGAAAGGACCTTGCCACTGCACTTGCCTAGAATTTGATTCTCTACGCTCTTGTACTTCTATGACAATTTCATTGTCTCATTTTAACACATGCTCCTGCAAGGGCAAGTTCATTCTCTTCACACAACATTTTCGGCTTTGCAGGTTTCATTCATAAATGGTCTATAATAATATACTTCACACAATACAGCAAACATTACCCTTCCTAGGTGAGGGAATCAGGGAAACACGTACAGTTCATTTGCTGCATAGGGCATTCTTTCAATTGGTACATTCATATTAAATACTTACACGGTTACAAAAAGCTCCTGGATAAAAGATAAATAGACAAATAGATTGATAGAGAGATAAAAATGAAAAGGACAGATAAAGAAATAGACAGTTTCATAGATCTCGGTTCAAACATTTTGCCTTACGCAATATACGGCAACACTGATATGTGCTGTACACAAAACTATTCTGAGGAGATAGCGGCCAGGCTGGACAATGAAAATTGTTTCCTTTGTTGAAACGCCAACCTGCAAATGAAGTATTCCAACACCATTGGCCTGGAACCTCTCGATGGTAGTCATGATCACCCAACAACAGTGGTTAGCAGCTTTGATCTTGAAAGGAACAGTTTTCCCGTGATGGTGGAGAGAGGTTAAGGTGCAGAGGGGATGGAAGAAGATACCCTATTCCTATCCATGACCCCGAATCTCGGGCAGATAATGTTGATGTTGAAGATGACGTATGCATATCTAGACAATAACAATAATGGGGACTTCCACCGAGAACTGCTGTTAGCATGTCTTTTGTGCGTGATGAAGAATTGCGTGAGAAAGATGAATAGCTTGAAACTAGATGTGCTGAATGAAGGCTATGAGGAGAACATGAAAGAAATACATAGGATGCACCCAGGGACCGTACGACCACCGCGAATAGCGTGTGACTATCGTACTTCAGTGGGACAGCAAAAGAGGGAAAAAGGAGACGGAATGAAGATATCTTTTCCATCTGAAAAAGAAACGATTAAGACTTTTGTTGCCAATCTCCGTCGTTGCAAGGGCTGTATTTGAAAAGGTCAGACTCACATTTCGAAGATGTGTGTGACGAGGTTATAGAAACTTTGTCTAAAATTGAGATCAAGAGCTTTGACCTTTTCATGTTTAGTGTGGCAAAGCAAATGGGACGAATGGCGTCCTTGCCCTCTCCATTGCGTCAGCTATCGATTCCAAGGAATGTCGGCACAAAGTGGAAGCGTATCATAGACAGTGACGATGAAGGGGATGTCAACAAGTTATACAACCTCAATACATGTCCCTTCAATTGCTTCAAATTGAAAAATTCTGCAAAGATTGGGCAAACCATTTTCGTGGTTGCTGCTTTACAGTCGCTGGAGTCCACCTACTTGGGCAAGTTTGAGATATCGCCTAACAATAAAATTGCGTCATTCTCGCCCACAAGAAGCCGTTTTAAAACAGCAGCAATACACCCATCGTAACTGTTACAGTCCACACCTGTTCTTGGAGCTCCATTCAGAAAAACGGTCAGAGAGGATGAACATTTGGTGTCTGGGTTAAAATCATGGCAGAAAAGAGGCAACCATTTATAGAAACGATCCTACGACTGTTTGGCCCATCGACAAGAGACAATGGAGAGGTGTTAGACTTTGATTATTTTGGTTTGCATTTTAACAAACTCGCAAATGCTTTGCTGTGGATTAATCAGTATGGAATTTGATATTTGAACCTTGTTTTTTATTCAACCTAAAGCTGTATTAAGCCTTTATCAAACAAGTCCGATGGACTGCACTCTGCCTTGATAAAAATAACTGTTTTTAGAGATTTTATTTTAAACATGTTTCAATGTACCATGAATGTCTTTGCTAAATCAATAAACTGTAACCACAATTACTAAGCTAACTAATACAAATGAAAAATAAAATAACTACTCTCTTAAATATCCGAGAGTTTTGAAACTTAGCGCAAAATGAAAGAGAAAGGACCTTGCCACTGCACTTGCCTAGAATTTGATTCTCTACACTCTTTTACTTCTATGACAACTTTATTGTCTCATTTTAACACACGCTCTCGCAAGGGCAAGTTTATTCTCTTCACACAACATTTTCGGCTTTGCAGGTTTCATTCATAAATGGTCTATAAGTATATACTTCCTAGGTGAGAGAATCAGGGAAACAAAAACAGTTAATGTGCTGCATAGGGCATTCTTTCAATTGGTACATTCATATTAAATACTTACACGGTTATGAAAAGCTCGTGGATAAAAGATAAATAGACAAAAAGATTGATAGATAGATAGATAAAAATGAAAAGGATAGATAAAGAAATAGAAAGGGTTAATACATCACAGTTCAAATATGTTTCCTTAGGCAATATATGGTAACACTGNCCTTGCCACTGCACTTTCCTAGAATTTGATTCTCTACACTCTTTTACTTCTATGACAACTTTATTGTCTCATTTTAACACACGCTCTCGCAAGGGCAAGTTTATTCTCTTCACACAACATTTTCGGCTTTGCAGGTTTCATTCATAAATGGTCTATAAGTATATACTTCCTAGGTGAGAGAATCAGGGAAACAAAAACAGTTAATGTGCTGCATAGGGCATTCTTTCAATTGGTACATTCATATTAAATACTTACACGGTTATGAAAAGCTCGTGGATAAAAGATAAATAGACAAAAAGATTGATAGATAGATAGATAAAAATGAAAAGGATAGATAAAGAAATAGAAAGGGTTAATACATCACAGTTCAAATATGTTTCCTTAGGCAATATATGGTAACACTGATATGTGCTCTACAAAAAACTATTCTGACGAGATAGCGGCCAGGCTGGACAATGAAAATTGCTTTGTTTGTTGAAACACCAACCTGCAAATGAAGTATTCCATCACCATTGGCCTGGAACCTCTCGATGGTAGTCATGATCACCCAGCGACAATGGTTAGCACCTTTGATCTTGAAAGGAACAGTTTTCCAGTGACGGTGGAGAGTGGTCAAGGCGCAGAGGGAATGGAAGAAGATACCCTATTCCTATCAATGACCCCCCAAATCTCGGGCAAATTATGCTGATGTTGAAGACGACGTATGCATATCTAGACAATAACAATAATGGGGTCTTGCACCGAGAACTGCTGTTAGCATGTCTTTTGTGCGTGATGAAGAATTGGATGAGAAAGAGGAATAGCTTGAAACTAGATGTGCTGAATGAAGACTATGAGGAGAAGATGAAACAAATACAGAGGATGCACCCTGGGACCATGTGACCACTGCTAATAGCATGCGACTATCATACTTCAGTGGGACAGTGAAAGAGGGAAAATGGAGACTGAATGAAGATATCTTTTGATGATGATGGCCGCGTTTTTTGAAGCTGGATAGTTTGCGTTATTTGTTGCCTTTTTGGGACTTTAAATACTTTAGTTTTTTTCGTGTAAGAGTTCCTGTTGTCTTTTATTTGAATATGTCAAGAAAAGGAAAGCAAGACGTGAATGCAATAGTTTTGAATCCTATGTGAAGGGCTGCCTGGAAACGATTCGACAGGATGTCGAAGCCATAAAGAACAATCAAGCAAAATTCAAAGAAGACTTGAAAACTTTCGAAAAAAAACTCGAAAGAACTACAGAGTCGCTTAACCTAAAGTTCGATACTCTAAACGGCAAAGTCCACGTGGCCATGACCAGAGTTGACAAATTGGAGAATGAGGTCAGCAAGTTCACTACTAATGTCAACCAAGCGTACGAAAGGCTTTTATCACTGGAACGTTACTCAAGAGATTTCAACCTACGAATTTACAATATTCCCAAGGGCTCAAATGAGAACTGTATTGAAAAATTGAAGACCACACTATCTAACAATTTGGGCATCAAACCCGTGATAGAGAACGCGCATAGGATTTGGGGACCCAGGACTGGTGCTTCAAATGACCTGAGACCTGTCATTGCCAAGTTTCTTTATCAACTGGAACGTCTTCAGGTAATCCAGAATAAGAGAAGTCAAAGAATGGTGTGAGAATATCTGACGATTTAATCTGGGAGGACCGACAAAAAAAGAAGTTAAAAGAAATCATGAAACAAGCGTATGAGGAGGGAAAGAAGCCCTGTTTTCACCACGGTAATTTGTATATTGATGGGGTTCTATATAAAAGTTGCTAGACTTTTAATATTGCTTGTATGTATCGTTTGTGATAAATTTTTATGCAAATGGCTCAAAACGAAAATGATCCTGACTGGAATTTAAAATCTTTTAATGACCACTGGATTTTTACTATTGGTGAATTGAATCAATTATTCCTCGTTGTCAAGCCATACTTTTCTGCGTTACATTTAAATATCACAAGTTTAAATCAAAGAAAGTAGATTATAATATTATTTATTACCTCCGCTATCGATAGCTGGACAATGCTTAGAGCAAGTATCCAAAATTAAATACTTAGGTATCTATATTGACAGCCACCTATCCTGGCATGACCATATCGACTATGTTTGTGATAAAGTCAGTAAGAGTATTAATATTATGACAAAGATAAAAAGTTATCTTGGAAATCAATGCTTAACTAGTATTTACTATTCTCTTGTTTACCCATATCTCATATATGGTTGCTTATTGTGGGGAAATAATTATGATAATCCATTATCACAGCTCATACATCTACAAAATAAAGCAGTTAGAATAATGAATGACGTTCCTTTACGAGATCATATCACTTCTCCTTATGTTCATCTAGGTTTATTAAAATTTCGTGATGTTGTTAAAATTTACAATTGTTTGTTTTTATATGATTATGTCCCTGATAATAAGCCGTGAAATTTTCCATTATTTCTTGTATCTGAGCAACATGATTATTTTACACAAAGTGCATCTGCTCAGCAATTACACATTCCCCACTCAAGAATTAATATTCGAAAGTTTTGCCCTACCGTCATTGGAAAATACTATTGGAACGATCTCCCCCTTTCTATTCGCAATAAATCATCGAAAATCCTGTTAAAAAAGGCACTTAAAAAATATTATCTTGCTCAGTATTGACTTGTGTGTGTGTGTGTGTGTGTGTGTGTGTGTGTGTGTGTGTGTGCCTGCGTGCGTGTTTGTGTTTTAATGAATAACAAAACTACAAAAGAATTAAGTCAATCTTGTTAAAGGGCCATGATTAGTTTCACTATAATGTGCCCTTCTCCATTCTAATTTTCTTCTTTTATTATTATTATTATGTACACGTAGTTTAAGCAATTGATATTGTACAACTAATCTATTATTGATATTGTACAACTATTGTATTATTGTACAACTAATGTATTATAGGATGGAGTAAAAAATAAAATACAAATACAAATACAAATCTTTTCCATCTGAGAAACAAACGATTACAACTTTTGTTACCAATCTCCGTCGTTGCAAGGGCTTGCATTCGAAAAGGTCAGTCACATTTCAAAGATGTGTGTCACGAGGTTGTAGAAACTTTGTCTAAATTTGAGATCAAGAGCTTTGACCTTTTCATGTCTAGTGTGCCAAAGCAAATGGGACGAATGGTGTGGTTGCCCTCTCCATCGCGTCAGCCATCGATTCCAAGGAATGTCGGCACAAAGGGGAAGCGTATCATAGACAGTCACGACGATGGGGATGTCAACAAGTTATACAACCTCGATACATCTCCTCTCAATTGCTTCAAATTGAAGAATTTTGCAAAGATTGGGCAAACCATTTTCGTGGTTGCTGCTTTATAGCAGCAATACACCCACTGGAACTGTTACAGTCTACACCTGTTCTTGGAGCTCCATTCAGAAAAACGTGGACGAACATTTGGTGTCTGGGTGAAAATCATTGCACAAAAAAGGCAACCATTTGTAGAAATGATCATACGACAGTTTGGCCCATCAACGGGAGACAATGGAAACGCGATAGACTATTTTGGCTTGCATTTTAACAAATTCGCAAACGCCTTGCTGTGGATTCATCAATATTGAATTTGATATTTGAACCTTGTTTTTTATTTAGCCAAAAGCTGTCTTGAGCCTTTATCAAACAAGTCTGATGGACTGCACTCGGCCTCGATAAAAATAACTTTTGTTAGAGATTTTATTTTAAACATGTTTCAATGTACCATGAATGTCTTTGCTAGGGTAGTAGTTGTGGTTACAGTTTACTGACTTAACTAATACGAACAAAAAATAAAATAACTACTCTCTTAAATATCAGAGAGTTTTAAAACTTAGCGCAAAATGAAAGAGAAAGGACCTTGCCACTGCACTTTCCTAGAATTTGATTCTCTACACTCTTGTACTTCTATGACAACTTTATTGTCTCATTTTAACACACGCTTCTGCAAGGGCAAGTTCATTCTCTTCACACAACACCTTCAGCTTTGCAGGTTTCATTGATAAATGGTCTATAATCATATACTTCAGACAATAGAGCAAACATTACCCTTCACAGGTGAGGGAATCAGGGAAACACGTACAGTTCATGGGCTGCATAGGGCATTCTTTCAATTGGTACATTCATTTTTAATACTTACACAGTTAGGAAAAGCTCATGGATAAAAGATAAATAGACAAATAGATTGATAGATAGATACAAATGAAAAGGATAGATAAAGAGATAGACAGGTTCATACATCTCGGTTCAAACATCTTGCCTTAGGCAATATATGGCATCACTGATATGTGCTCTACACAAAACTATTCTGACGAGATAGCGGTCAAGCTGTACAACAAAAATTGTTTCCTTTGTTGAAACGCCAACCTGCAAATGAAGTATCATCAGATAATGTCTTTGGTTTCAAGTTAATACCAGAGATTAACGTGGACATTAATGAAAAACGGATTCACGATGCAAAGACAGCACTGAGTGGATACCGTGCTGTTTTTACTTTAGCACTTTTGTTTCTGTTGTCAACATGCAGTAAAGGCCATCTTCATTGTACCTCCGTCATTGCAAGTTTTCAGACAACGGACGGGAACAGCCATGAAACCACATCCTGCCTAAAATGATCCTATTAATTCGGGTAGGGATACATACATTGTAGGGTCTATGAGTTAGTTTTGCTCTATTACACAAGCCAATATCGACATGCGGGAATGTAACCACTACATTAATAATATTAAATCGGGATGGTTCAGTTACAACTCTCCCTCTCTTTGTGACCCAAGAGTGATAGATGATAGATAGACAGAAAAGAAAAGGTAAAAAAGGAAAACTTTGATGTACTGTAACGAAAAAAAAAACTTTTTGTAATGTTACCTTCATTTGGACTGTACTGTTCAGACTCAGACACTTCCATTATCTAGCTCAGTGTGTGATTAAAGCATTAAAACTGAAGCTATTTCGTTAGAAATTTTCTTTGTTGTTTTCTCACGGGAGGTTATTTTAGACCTTGCGAACCCCCAAAACATGTCCATCTCCGCTTACGAGAGGTGTCTGCAAATGTAGTGTTTGAGAGGAGAAATTGCCTGGAGCGCGGTTTTGCGTTCGCTATTAAATGGGAACTGTCTGCTTACAAGAGGTGTCTGTTAGTGGAGGTTCGACTGTATTTTTATCATATGCATTAGCCTGCGTAGCAAGCGTTTCCAATTATCACAAGAAAGTTAGAGCCAGAGCAAAAATAAATAAAAATGAAGGGGGAGGACTTTGGTTAAGTGCGTTGTTTCTGCTAACTCAGGAAGTAAAGGTTTGAGAGGCTAGAATGCGAGCCAATAAGGCAATTGACACAAGTTTCAAATTAGAAAATATGTCTTTAAAGCGAGAGGAACAAGATTTTCGGGTCGTGAGGTGGCCCAGCTAGCGATAAAATCGCAATGAATCTTCAAACTGCCAGCCAAATTTTTATATAAGACGAAAGACTTCTTAGAACGTCTAAAATATTACTTGAGAATATAAACAACAATTCTCTGTAGGCGGCGCGGTCCGGAAGGAAATCTTGTCGAGTCAATATGAGAGTTCTTTTGTCTTTTTAAGAAAAAAACAGATGACGCTCGCGCATGCGCATAATCGGGACACTAAAAGACAATGCGTTAATTAGAACGTTAACTCCTTGCAGAGCTTGCCAGGGCAACATTTAAAAAATGATCCGTGTAAATGCAACCAGGGAGGAAGGGATAACATTGAAGATTTTATGGAAGTTTCCTTATACCCTCAATCATTTTTCTGCATTTTTGACAGCCATGGGAGGCCAGAAGCTGGTGATTTCGCCAGAAATAATTGAATGGAAAGAATAACCCAACAGGAAGGGTTTCATTCCCCAGAGCAATGGAAGATCGTCAAAGCCATTAAAGATGGTTTTGTTTCTGTGCAGAGCGAAATGTGGAGACACAGAGGTACGTTAACTTGTGCTATGGTTATAGAAAAGTGAAAAGAAACCCAAGATTTATCTTACAAGAGCAAATGTGACCTTTCAACATGTTTTAGTTAAAGATTAATAGTTATTTTGTCAAGTTATCCAATAAAACTTGTGGCACAACGTGATTCAGAGTTGAAGGTAAGGGTTTCAACTCAAATTTAGGTAAACGTTCAATTTGCGTTGCGTGACGATACCGACTGATGTCACAGCCAAATACTCAGTTATTCAAATACTCGTCACTTTAAAGTAAGATATGCCTCATTTTGTCTAGACTTTTCACAGTCCTGTATTTTTCCGTAAGATCATCAAGATCGAGCGCTTTGCGTTACAGGGCTGACATCTTGCATGAGTGTCAAAACTACTTAAGGGGCGGGGGCGGTTTGGGAGGAAGCAAGAAAAATAGAAGGACCCTCTATTTTTCTCATCCCCCCCAAGCTATAATCCCCGACGCCGGCCCCCTCGGTACATTTGAAAATCAAGACAATAACAATGACAATGCTTTATTTGGAGACTTATACATCCTATGTACATCGACTTTATCCAAATAATTGAAAATCATAACACAAATTGCACACCACTGGAACCATAATCAAATTATGTTAACCTAAAGACCTAATGATCTTTTTTTCTCATAGCAGTCAAATACGTATTTTGCAATTAACTTTTGCACTGGTTT